AAATCATACCAAAACCATATAAAATTGTTGTAAACATGGTATGAATATTTCATAAATTATAGATACATTGGAGATGTATCAAGCACAAAGAGAAGAAACTAAGCAATCATTGTAGTTGGGAAGCATTCTGACCAAAGCCTTTCCAGCGGAGATTAGAACCCCTCCCCACCCCCAAAGGACATGAGCTTCGGGATAAATCACTTCGTTGCTATTCCCCTTTGGTTAATCATATTACTTGACCATTCCTTGTTTAGTTGATATTGTTTATCTTTCTTGCTAGTTGTATCTAGTCAATTAGGGTGATTCGCTTATTTTTAGAGCACACATATTTCGGAATCCTAAACTTACCCAAAAAGGTTAACACTTTGTAGACACCTATTAAGCCTCTTCTAGTCGACACCCTTGATCCTTTACTGGACACATTTTTTCTTGAGTCTGTGCACACCTTACCAAGGATTATCACAATGAAATGTCTAAATCAATGGTATAGGTGACAAAACCCATCTATTATATCCATGTAGCTATTATGTGGTGCACACTGCAATATACTCTGCAGGTTGTAATTTAATTCACATCACCGTCGATCCCTTGCACCAAACCCATGATGCACGTGTCACTTTCTGGAGGGTATTGCTTTCGTGGCACGACATAAATCTTTTAGGTGCAAAATCTTTGTCGTCAATACACAACAATAAATCCTTACACATAATAAATCAACGATATGATTCTCAATATATACAGAAAGATACTAACAACTACTCTTACTCATACCGGGATATACATAGTGATCGATAAATTAAATAGGCATTATTAAGAGGAGTTATATATAAGAAAGTGAGACCGAGCTCGCCGAACAAAAATCGGTGCAGTGAGATCTAGTAACCTCTTCCATCTCCAATGGCCATGTTTGTGGGCGTCAACGCTATTGCCTATGCCGCGCTTGTCATCGCTACCGTCGAGACCACTCGTAAGCCCGGCTGTGCGAAGACGCTCAAAGACTTCGAGCACTCGCTCGATGCCTTTATGGAGTCTTGCGACTGCCCCGACGACATGTTCTCTGGCCTCGAACAGATCACCCACATCCACCTCGCAATCGCAAAAGATCTACAGGTTGCCGCCAACGCCGAGGAGAAAGAGGTGCATGAAGAGAAGGATACAATGGCCTCATCGCCGATGCCGGTGATGGTTGCGGCCTTCGAGGAAAAGTAGATCCATCAATCAATTGATACTGTGGCTTGTTGTTGTGATGTTAATTGGTTCTCTTGGTTATTATTCTAATCAGGTGAGTCATCTTGGGAATCAATAAAATGGTGAAAAGATTGGAGAACTAAATTAGTATATTCCTAAATGCAAATTAATTTTTCGCAGTTACTTCTTAGGGAAAATTTATCATGATGCTTTGATCATGATATTATTGTTTAATTATGGGCCAAGAGAACAATCTAAGTTAGAACCAAAGGCTCAAGCAGAGCTCAACTTTAAATTAATGAAACCACCACAACCAACACACACAAGTTTAGTTATTACATGTTCGCGGAACATACCAAAATGGGCACATGCGGCATCGACAAATCTCATATTCATAGGGGTTTGGGTTGTGAGTACATTAGTACGATCTTGTTAACCGTGAGCTCCAACGCTTGTATGTCCTTCATCTGCACCACCGGCTTCAATTGCTGCAAAAAGGGGATGATTTTGGACATACGATCAATAGATTGTTGAAGGATCACCCACTCAATTCTAAGTTGGTTCCTAAAGTTCCCCATCGACCAACATTGAGCCGAGAAACAAATCCAAAAAGTTGTTTGAGTTTTCATGAATTATTCATTCTTTAAAAAATATTGTTCAAGATTTCAAAATTAGTTCAAGCTTTTTTTTAAATGTTCAAAAAAAATTAAAATGTCTTCCTTTTTAAAAACTGTTCAAAAATTAAAAATATTCACAATTTCAAATAATGTTCACAAATTTCAAAGTTTGTTCACATTTTCAAAAAGTGTCCACAATTTCAAAAAAAAATGAGTTTTCAAAAAATGTTCAGAATTTCTTATAATATTTTAAAATTTCAATATTTTATTCGTGTTTCCATTTTTCCCAAAATTATAAAATTGTTTACAACTTAAAATAATAATCAAATTTTCCATAACATGTTCAGGATTCGTGAACAATGCTTGAACTCATGAAATTTTCTAGAATCCATGAACATTTTTCAAAATTTTGCTCACTTTTTAAAATTCGTGAACAATGCTTGAACTCACGAAATTTTTTATAATCCATGAACATTTTTTAATGTTTGCTCACTTTTTAAAATTCATGACCAATTTTGAATTCTCAGACTTTTCTCTAATTCCCACTTATTTTGAATTCGGTAACATTTTTTGAATTCACGAACAATTTATGAAGTAACTAATATTTTGGATTGCATGAACATTTTTTGAATTCACGTTATTTTTTTAATTAACAAAAAATTATGTATTCTTGGGTTTTCTTGTCAAATTTAAATTAAACCGTCCGAAAAAAGCAAAAATGAGAAAAAACTAAAAAAAATAGACATGAGCTTACTAGGCTAAGCCCATCTGCATTACCGACTCGGGCGACTTGACGCTTGTAGCTTGCAGTGAGCGATGCATATCACTCACCTCAGCCACACATATGTCTCACTTATAACGAGACGTACGGTATGTCTCGCGCCTGACTAAATGGCCGGCCCAGCGCCCGGGAGGCCACAGGTCACTGCCTTTTTTCCTCTTTTTTTGTCACACTTTTTGTTTTTGTTTTTTTTGCTTTATTTTTTATTTTTTATTATACTTCGAAATATTCCATATATTAGAACCACTTTACATAAAACGTTTAAAAATATTAACCAAGTATTTAAAAGTTATCAAATATGTACGCCAAATATACACAGTGATAGAATAGAAGTCCTGGAAATTGATATGGAGACATTAGCACACCAAGACACTCATGTGGGGACTAAGCAGGGGCCGCCTGAGGTTCGACCGGCCAAGGCTTGCTTGACTGGTTTGGGTGCAGATATGAAGGAGCAAACTGCTACTGGACAACCTGCAACTTTGGAACATAAGACACCAACAATGGCTCCACCGGTGGCGGTGGCTCGAGCAGCGAGAGACACTGCCGGTGCCAAGACTTATCCGAACGATGGGAGTGAGAATATAGAAGCAGAAACTAGTGCTGAACAAGAAGCCGAAGAGCCCGCGGCTACTGAAATGGAGAAGCTACGCCAAGAGAATGCTCTGATGAGAGGAGAGGTCAAGGACCTGCGTGATGAAGTGAATGTGTTGATCAAGCCGCTCGGTTCGGCTTCCAGCGCCCAATGCATGGATCGGCCTCCCGCTCCCTAGGCCCTCGTTTTCTTATGATGCTTACATGCTTTATCCATGTTATTATTTGCAGCGCTTGCTTGCGAAGATTAAACTTCTCCCAGAATATCCTGGCCATCGCTTAACTGAATATTAATCTTGGGGCGCCTGTCGTTCTTCAGAGGACAGCTTTAGTTGTTCTTCGGATGTCGAGGGCACGAGGTCCTGACAGTGCCGAAATATATAGCCGTATGCATATCCCTCCCAATCAAATCATCATAGGAGAGACGTAAGAGTGGTGGGGAGTATCTGGACTGCAGGTCGTGGGAGCTGCGACATAACGCCCTTGTCGACCATTCCTTTTGTTCAGAACTTTGTAACGAAGCTGATAACTATAATGGGTGATCCCAGCACCTAGCTTGGAAGATGATCATGTACTTGATCGTCTCATTCATGGTGGGCAGCCAAATTTTATGCGCAATTCAATGTCGAAGCCACGTTATTTCAGGTGGCCATTTTTACTTGCAGCTGTGTGCTGCACCCGGCACTGAATGAACAGCACAGCCAAGCGAACAATCTGACACATGTGCGTCCAGCTGATTTGTATACTTATTAATGATAACATGATATATGTGCAGTAGCAACTGGGTATGGACCTGTTTTTCTCTGGATGTTTGGTGATATATTCCAAAAGGATAAGATTGTGTCACTGACACCGAGTATCAAATCTCTAGTGATCTGCCACGTATGTAAAGAGGGTAAGGAAGATAATCGCCTTGCGTTGTTTGATTGCAGCCGCACGAGGAAAGTTTGGATGAAGGTGGGTGCCACTGACAGGATCAACCAAGCTGCAATTACTCACAGATCATTCTCAGCCATTTTGGAAGAACTAATCACAGCGGGATGGATGAATTCCAAATGTACCCGAACCATACTTCATCCATGGTTATTTTCACTTTTGGTTGCTGGTATTCGAGGTGGGCAAGAAGCCAAGCGTAGCTGCCTGGGTATGGCGGGGAACGAGGACGCCGACAACCTTGCCGAGCTCATCCCCTCGCTGCCTGTCGAGAAGCGGTTCCTGCTGCCGTTCGCCGGCTCGCAGAGGCGGCAGTACCGCGGGTACTGGCTCCCGGAGAGCAACCTGCTGGCCCTGGCGGCAGCCCGCCGCGGCTTCGAGGCCGAGCCCACGGACGTCTTCCTCGTGAGCTGCCCCAAGTCCGGCACCACGTGGCTCTCGGCGCTCGCCTTCGCCACCGTGCACCGCGGCGCGCACCCGCCGTCCCACCGCGACCACCCGCTGCGCCGCCAAAGCCCGCACGCCTGCGTCCTGTCCATCAAGACGGTCTTCCGGCAGCCGGACGACGTCGCGCGAGGCGTCCTCAAGGCCTACCCCTCCCCGCGCATCTTCTTCACCCACTTCCCGCTGTCCCTGCTGCCGGACCGCATCGCCGGAGACGGCTCCGGGTGCCGGATCGTGTACATCTGCCGGGAGCCAAGGACGTGGTGGTCTCCTGGTGGCGGTCATTGCGCGCGTGCGTTCCGGACGACCCCGAGGGGGCTCGGTTCGACGCGGTCTTCGATTTGTTCTGCCAGGGCCGCAACGGCGGGGGCCCTTGCTGGCGCAACGCCCTCGAGCATTGCCGAAGAAGGCCACGCAAGGTGCTGTTCCTCAGGTGCGAGGAGATGCTGCGAGAGCCGCAGGGCAATCTCAGGAGGCTGGCGGAGTTCCTGGGGTGCGCGTTCTCGGAGGCGGAGGAGAAGGCCGGCGTCGTGGACGCCATCTTGGAGCTCTGCGGCATGGAGAAGCTAATGGAGCCTGGGGTGAACCAGAGTGGTGAAAAGACGGGGGAGCATTCCTCCGTCAGGAAGGGGGTCGCCGACGACCGGAGCAACCACATGACGCCGGAGATGGCGGCAAGGCTCGATAAGATCGTCCAAGAGGCGCTGCACGGAACCGGATTTAGCTTTGGCATCCCCACGCCACAGTAACCATGTGTATGTGCGCTCGTATCGCCGGGTCTAAAGCAAAAGTTTCCAAAAAGAACTCCACTACAAATCTAATCGCAAACTAAATTTGTCATCATCACGGACCATGTGTATGTGCGCGCCAGGTCTAAAACAAAAGTTTTTTTATTTATTTTCAAAGCAAAAGTTCTAAAAAAGAACTCCACTAACAAATCTGATTTCAATTTTGTTTCAAACTAAATTTTCCATCATCACTGCAACGGAAATTGTTATTAAAAATATGTCAGATTTGCCATGTCAGAACAATTCAGATTTTAAGTGTTTTCGTAAAAAGTAGGATAAAGCTAAAAAAATTGTCTAAAGATTTGTAAGGGCATCTCCAACGGCTATCGTCCTTTCGCAGGGGACCAATCCGTGGACATAGATGCGGGAGCCGCCATCCAATGCTGCTCGCAGACATTTCAACCACTTTTTTAATTAACATGATGAAATTTATGCAAACACGGCGGATTTCATTAAAATTCAGATATAATTTGCAATAAAAGATCGATATTTTGATCATTTAACTAAAAACTTATAAAAAAACCTAAACTCTATACGAAACGACGACCTCGTACGCGTGGCCGCCAGTCCTGTGGCACCGCCGTGGTCGTCCCTCCAGCAGCGCAAGACAACTATTCAATCAATCACACCAAGGCAACGAGTAAGCACGCAAAATCCAACCACTCTGACATTGCACTGCTGGACGTCATTGAAGTACAGAGCTGCCAGGCCGGTGCTGCAGCCGGCTCACGCGACGGGCATGTCCGACGTGCTCTTCATTGTTGTAGGTGTGGTCACCACGGTCGCTACACCGCATAGTAAGTTTCGAAGAAATGTATGAGCCAAACAAAATCTTACTCTGCTAAATTTAGAAACGATCAAATATTACTGCAGTACAAGTACTCCACTGAAGTTTATTCGGTCGTTTACTTCTCTATTTTTTAGGGATAGGCTAGAGATGCTCTAAAAATGACCATTAAGAGTTCTCATAAATTTATAGGTTTCAATCATCTTCTTCAACTTCATCGTCACTATCTCCATTAGTACATTGACGCAAAAGTAGGAGCATTTTCCTTGCTCTCTCTTGCCATGAGGAAAATGAGGTGTTCATCCTCATCTTCGGAGCAGTCGAACTTGAAAAAGGTGTGCATATGGCTAGCCCGGCGATCACAAAATTTTCACTAGAATCGGAGGCTTCAGTGCTGTACTCTTTGACAACAACGGCTTTGACGTGCTTGTCCATTTTTTGAGGATTGATTTCATTGTACTCCATTCATTCCTAAATATTTGTCTTTTTAGAGATTTTAAATGAACTAATCACATACAGATGTATATAGACATATTTTAAAGTGTAAATTCATTCATTTTTGTTTCGTATGTAGTCATTTGTTAAATCTCTAAAAAGACAAATATTTAGTAGCGGAGGGAATAGAAGATAATTTTCTAGAATATCTTTTCCTGTTTCTCTTCATTCTTGTCCTTAGTGATGATGCGAAACGCTGAAAAACAATCTGTGAAACCGTAACATCGGAGGCATTCCGGTGTCGGCCACATCGACAATCACGCACCAGTGACAGGTCATGGGATTTTTATTTCGTGCTACGTCTATACCTTGTTGTTTCCTTCCAACACACAGTAACCATGTGCAACAACTCGTTTGTTGTGCCCACTACTACTACTCCCTTTATTTCATAATATAGTACGCCCACGCTTCTCGAGATCGAGTGCAGCGGGAGCAAAAATTATACTACTGAATTTGAATTCAGTGGATTTGAATTCAGTGGGTATAATTTTTGCTCCCGCCGTAGTTGGGCTCGTTGGTTAAATTTATGGTCAAACTTATATCTCGGAAAGCGCGGGCGCACTACAGTGTAGAATGGAGGGAGTACTGCTCAAGAAAAAAAAACAGCACGCAGAAAATAGCTTGCCGTAAAAATACGCTATGAGCGTGCTATTAGCAAGTCATTGTGCATTGTTTTATTTAGCAAGGTAATTCTCTACACTTTAGAGTGCGTTATTTTTCTCAATGCACTTCTCCTCCTTTGTTATATATCGTTCTTTTATTTTCCTTTTCTTTTTTATTTTTATTTTTCATCTTTTATTTTTTTATCTTTCGTTTTTTATGTGAGCAACTTTTAGAAAATTTGAAATTTTTCTTCATATTCGCAAATTTCTTTTCAAAACACATAATATTTTTTCAAATTAATGAACCTTTTTAAAAACACATACCTTTTCAAATTAGTGTACTTTTTTGTGAATCCGCAAATATTTTTTCAAATTTGTGATTTTTTAGAAATCTGTGAACTTCTTCCAAATTCATGATATTTTGCCAAAATCCGAGATGTATTTTCTAATCCATGATATATTTTTTTCAAATCCATTAACCATTTCCAAATTCATGAACGTTTTTCTTCCAAAATTGATGAACCTTTTCCCAAATTTGGGAACATTTTTTCATATTGGTAAACATTTTTTAAAATTCTGAACTTTTTTTCCAATTCCATGAACTTTGTTTCAAAACCGGTGAACTCTTCCCAAATTCCTTCTTTTAACCATGCAATATTTTTCAATCCATAATTTTTTATAAAAAATTAAAGAACTGTTTTTCAAATTTGGAAACATTTTCCTAATTTGTGATTTCTTTTTAAATTCATGATTTTTTCAAATCAGCGAACTTTTTTGAAAACCATGTACTTTTTTCAAATTGGCAAAAAAATCAAAATTGATGAATTCTTTTCAAATTGGTGAACATTTTTTCAAAATCCATGAACTTTTTTGAATTCATGATTTTTTTTAATACATGAACTTTTTTGAATTCGCGAACTATCCTGACGAGCAATTGTTGGGTGCTTTTCACGAGCAAGCGATAGGTTTCTTTTTTGGACGAGCGAGCGACTTGTTTGTTTTTTTACGAACGAGCGAGCAAGGTACTCACTCGCGCAGCTGGGACAGCCCACTGTTTTTCAAAAAAAAAAAAAAAAAAACTGTGACAGCCCACCCGAGGGGAAGCGTGGGTGCTGCTTTTGTTACCTGGCGCTAAAAGCACTGACTAGGAGTTTAATAAAAGCGCTGCTCACTCGCTTTTCTTCAAATTTCCGATATGAAAGGTTTTATATTTCCTTACAGAGGGAGTACTAGGCGATGAGCCATTCTAGTATGCTAGATTTGATGTTAATGTAGTACAATTGTTTAATTCTGAAATAAAGTAGTCTAAATAGGTATTTCGAATGAATGTCTGTGGGGAAAAAATGTGTTCAATGTTTTTAAGAGATCAAATTTAGGGACTCTGATAGATGAGAACAAATGCAACCCCATACGAAATTTGACTTTTTAAGATAGGGAGGAGATTTCGAGCTTTTAGAACAGGAATCTGCTGGATATTTTTAACCGTTGCATTGATGGTGTGGACTGGACAACCAACTCTTATGCACAATTCAACGTGGAAGCCCCCATCTTAGGTGGAGGAGTAGCCGTTTCCACTTCAAAAAAAAAAAAGACCAACCCAAGGGCTAAATCCTCGTTGGCATTTATTTATAGAAGAAACTCTGCGAGCACCACGCGTTTAAGCCGGGACTTGAACTCGGGTGGGCTGGCAGCAACCTCAGCTGCCCAGCCAACGGGTCGACGCCCCGTCCTCGCCGTTTCCACTTCAGGGTCTGCATGTGCTGCACCTGGTTTGGAGCTCTGAAAGAACGCAACCAAGCCAACAGTCTCACCGGCCGACTGTACTTGACGATTATCATAATATGTATCGAGAACTGTCATGTTCATTGTCAGCGGCTTTGAAGATAATACAGCGACAACAGCTGATATGCTACAGGAGGATCAGGCAAGCGCTGGGCAGGCCAGGCCCAAGAGGAGAGCCCAGGCTCCAGCGAGAGTGTGCGGCCCGGAATGGGCCCGCTAGTCAGTACTTATATACTACTGTAATGGTCTGTAACGGGTGGCTGGCGGCTTCGGCCGAGGAAGGATAGGATAGTTGGCGTGTGCGAGTTGCCTGTAATCCCCTTCTTCTCCAATTCAAATTACATGAACTCAGTTGAGATCTGAGCAAAGCCTTGGCTAATTCGAGAGAATCAAGCTCGTGCTTACAATTGGCATCAGAGCCTTAGATCCTGGCGCCGCCAGTCCCACCCCACCACCCACACGCAACGAGATTCGCGGCCCGACGCCGCCGGGAAGTAATGGAGAGCATGTCGCCGGCGACGAAGGCGGTGTACGAATTTCTCAAGGCCGACTTGGCGGAGACCCCCGACGCTCGTTTCAAGCGACAAGACGAAGCATCAGCCAAGTCGCTGCGCTCCATCATGGGCGATCTGACGGCGCGCATCGACGACCCCAAGATGTCGATCGGCGTCGACATGGATGAACTCCGCGCGGGCCTGGATCGACTGCCGACGGGCCCGAATTCGTCCCAGACGGGGCGACCTCCACCGACAGAGCAGGGCGCGGCCAGCAACGGCGACACGCCACCGGAGGGGAGCCGCAGGATTTCGTCAGCCAAGGAAAAGGACCACGTTCCCTACGTTCCGCCACCAGCCAGAGGTACGAGATCAGATCACAACTCTGCATTCAGTTCGAGATTAGCGGAATTGCAACGAGAAAATTCTGATTCCTACGGTTTTGCTCCTCGCATCGACCTTCCCCGCTTTGACGACTCCAATCCGAGGCTCTGGCAAACTAGATGCGAAGACTATTTCAGTATGAGTGGCACACCGCGGCAGCTTTGGGTTCAGCTTGCATCTACCTTGTTCGAAGGACCTGCAGCTCGATGGTTGGAATCGGTTCAGCGTCGTGCGCCAAACGCACCATGGGAGGATTTCTGTAGGTTGCTACAGTGTAGATTCGGACGAAACCAACACCAGGCGTTAGTACGCAAATTTCACAGTATATCCCAAACGGGTTCAGTGAAAGACTATGTGGAACAATTTGCAGAGCTCTATGATCAGCTGTCTGCATACGAAGCGGTACCTGAGTCGGTG